CTATTCATGGTTATTTATGTTCCCACATGAATTTCAGTATTGTCATTTCCAGGTCTGAGAAGTATGATGTTGGTAATTTAGTGGGTATTGCATTGAATCTGTACATTGCCTTTGGTAGGACGGACATCTTAACAATGTTGATTCTTCCTATCCATGGAAGGAATAGTTTTCCATTTGCTTGTGTCTTCTTGGATTTCTTTGAGCAGGGTTTTGTAGTTCTTGTTATAAAGGTCTTTCACTTCTCTGGTTAGGAAGATGCCGAGGTATTTCATTGTTTTTGTGGCTGTTGTGAATGGGATTGTGGTTTTTATTTGGGTCTTTGCCTGCTTGTTGTTGGTATATAGGAATGCAACTGTCTTTTGCACATTTATTTTGTAAAGACTTTGCCAAAGTCCTTTATCAGTGCAAGCAGGTTTTTTGACTTTTGACAGATTCTCTTGGATTTTCAAGGTATAGGGTCATATCATCAGCAAAGAAGGATAACTTGACTTCCTCTTTTTCCATTTGGATAGCCCTGATTTTCCTCTGTTGTCTGTCCTAGCTAGGGTTTCTAACACAATGTTGAATAAGAGGGGTGAGAGTGGGCAGCCTTGTCTTGTTCCAGTTTTCAGGGGAAATGTTTCCAGTTTCTCTCTATTTAGCAATATGTTAGCTGTGGGTTTATCAGAGATGGCACTTACTATTTTTAGGTATGTTCCTTCTATACCTAGGCATTTTAGGGTTTTTATCAAGAAGGGATGCTGGATTTATCAAAAGTTTTTTCTGCATGTAATGAGATAATCATGTGGTTCTTGTTTTTACATCTGTTGATGTATTTAATTACTTATTTGGTCTTGCTAAGGTTGAACAAGCCCTGCATGCTAGACATGAAGCCTACTTAGTCATGGTGGATGATTTTTGAGATATGTTTTTGGATTTGCTTTGATAGACTCTTGTTCAGGATTTTTGCCTCTGTGTTCATAAGGGATATTGGCCTGTAGTTATCTTTCTTTGTTGCATCTTTACCCAGTTTGGGTATCAGTGTAATGTTAGCTTCGTAAAATGATTTGGGGAGAATGCCATCTTTCTCAATTGCCTGGAATACTTCCAAAAGGATTGGTATCATCCCCTCCTTTTATGTTTTGTAGAATTCTGCTGGAAAGTCATCTGGTCCAGGGTTTTTTTTTTGTAGGTGGTTTTCATATGACAGAGTCAATTTCCTGGGATGTTATTGGTCTATTTAGTGTCTCAGTGTCTTCTTGTTTCATCCTGGGGAGGTTGTGAGATGTAAGAAAGTACTCTATTTCATTTAGGTTATCAAGTTTGTTTCCATATAGGTGTACAGAGTAATCTCTGATAATCTTTTGTATTTCTTTGGGGTCAGTTGTAATTTGATCTTTTGTATTTCTGATTGTGTTTATTTGGGCTTTTTCTCTCTTTCTTGGTCATTCTGGCTAGGGGTTCATCAATCTTGTTAATTCTTTCAAGAACCAGCT